TCATTAAGGGTAAAAGCGACGTAGCTGCTCGATGTTCTAGGCATTGGCAAAGACCTCGCTGTCGATGGTCTTGAGCTTGTAGGTGCCTGGTCAGAGCACCTCTGCGATGACGTATGGTCCGTCCCATGGTGGGGAGAGCTTGTGGTGGTCCTTGCTGCTCTAGACGAGGTGGAGAATCAGGTCTCCGACATTGAAGGCCCGACCCCACACTCGACGGCTATGGTACCGGCGCAACTCTTGCTGATACTTGGTCGAGCGGAGGAGGGTGACGTCATGTGCTTCATCTAGCTAGTCCTTGGCATCCTCGAGGGATGCCTTGGCTCCCTGTTCGTCATATGCCTTGACCCTTGGCGCTCCATAGTCGAGGTCGGTCAGGAGGACAGCCTTGGAACCATAGACCATGAAGAATGGCGTGTAGCCGGTGGCCTAGCTAGGGGTTGTCCTTAGGCTCCAGAGCACCATGGGGAGCTCGGCGACCCATCGTCCACCAAACTTGTTCAACCGGTTGAAGATCCTAAGCTTGAGGCCCTGTAGAACCATGTCGTTTATGCGCTCGACCTGCCCGTTCGTGTGGGGGTGCGCTACGGCAGCCCAATCGACACGGATGTGGTATTCATCGTAGAATCGAAGGAACTTGTTTCTGGTAAACTACGTGCCGTTGTCCGTGATGATGGAGTTCGGGACTCCATAGCGATGGACGATGTCGAGGAAGAGCAGCACAGCTTGCTCAGACTTGATCGCGGAGATCGGTCGAGCCTCTATCCACTTTGTAACCTTATCTATGGTGACAAGCAAGTGGGTGTAGCCCTCGGGCGCCCTTTTGAGAGATCCGACCAGATCGAGCCCCCAGCCCGCGAACAGCCACGTGATGAGGATCGTCTAGAGCGCTTTGACCGGTAGGTGAGTTTGCCGAGCATAGTACTGACACCCTTTATAGGTGCGCACCACCTGCTCGGCATCGGCTATGGTGGTCAGTAGAAGCCTTGTCGGAACATGTTTTCGACCAGGGTTCTAGGCGTGGCACGGTGACCGCAGACCCCACCATGGATATCGCTCAGCAAATGCTTCCCCTGTTCGATCGGGATGCAATGTTGCAGGTTCCCGTTGTGGCTTTACTTCTAGAGTTTGCCCTCAACAAGGACAAAGGACTTGGCAGAACGCGCGAGCCATCGATCCTCCATCTTGTCCATCGGTGGTACATCATGGAGGAGGTAGTCGAGGTAGAGCGTCCTCTAGTCGACTAGAGGGTCGGGCTCTATCGCTGGGTCCTCTTCGAGCTCCATGACATTAGGGTTGGTTGGAGCCGACGGTTAGTCAGCCACCGAGCCTAGGGTGGGCAGATCGTCACCGGCTTGTTCCGACCCCTTGTAGCGAACCGAGGGCTTGTGCTGATCGCTGGCGAAGACACCCATTGGCATCAGCTCTCAACTGGACGCCTCCTTCGCTAGCACGTCGGCCGCCTCATTGAGACACCTCGGAATGTGGTTGAGCTCGAGGCCATCGAACTTGTCCTCTAGCTGGCGGACTTCTTGGCAATATGCAGCCATCTTGGCATCGTGGCAGCTTGACTCCTTCATGACTTAGTCGATGACCAACTGGGAGTCGCACCGAACATCGAGGCGTCAGATGCCCAACTCGATGGCGATGCACAAGCCATTTATGAGTGCCTCATATTCGGCCACATTGTTGGAGGAGGCGAAATGGAGGCAAACCATGTACCTCATGCGTACCCCGAGGGGCGAAACGAATACTAACCCCATGCCGATGCCATTCTTCATCAGCGATCCATTGAAGTACATCGTCCAGTACTCTTGGTCGATGACTGCTGGTGGCATTTGGACCTCGATCCACTTTGCAACAAAATCAGCCAACACCTGGGACTTGATGGCCATCCAAGAGGCATATGCCACAGCCACGGCTCCTCGGTGTGCCGCGCCGCCAGGCACACCGGCTGCTCCACCTTCAAGTCAAGCAGGTACATCCGGTTCTGGGACCTCTTTACCTTGGCAAGAAGTCGCTGCTCCCTGTCCCTGATCCTAAGGACACCGTCCTTGATCAGTACCTCGCTCTCACACTCATCCAGCTGGCCAATGCTTGAATGCAGCTACGAGATGTAATATACATCCGTTAGCGTGCGGTGCTCACTGTTCTGGCACCTGAAGATGATGGTGCCGCGCCCTCGGATTCCCACCCTTGAGCCGTCACCAAACGGTAATATCGTCGTTGAGCTCGGAGAAGGCAGCCTTGGAGCCCATCATGTGGTTGCTGGCACCAGAGTCCAGATAACACCGCTGCTCCTACTCGCCACCCACACATCCGAGATGGACTTAGGCACGTGGTTCATCGAGGTTGACAGCCTTTAGGGCCTTCCTAGGCCCTTCCATCGTCGTCGCCTCTCCCTTCTCCTCGGCCTCAACGTCGTGCAGTGCACAGAACGTCGCCATCAGGATAGTGGCCTTATCTTCATCATCAGCTTGCGCTAGATGAGCCTCAGCCTTCTTCTCCTACTTGCGATTTGGGCACTCCCATGCCCAATGGCCCATTTTTTCAAAGTGTCGGCAGGCGTTGGGGTCGACCTGCTTCTTCTTCATCGAAGAAGCCTTACCGTGGCGCTTGCCATCACCACCGTGGCTGGAGGAGGCTACCCCGGAGTTCCTCCAAGCAGCCCACTCCTCCTCTGTCAGCAGTAGCTTGCCACTGTCCTTCGTTGCTGTCGCCTGCTCCAGGCACTCGTCCACCACCCATAGACGACCTATCACATCCTCAATGGTGAGGGTGGACAAGTCCAGCATCATCTCTATGGAGAGAGCGATCTGGATGTACTTTGCCAACATGGAGTGGAGGTACTTGGAGACCACCTCCACTTCGTCGATGGTGACGCCATGGCTCTTCAGCTTGCTGATGAGCGTCTGCAGGCAGAGTGAGAAGTCCTCCATTGATTCACCATCCTTGAACTAGAGGTTGGCGTACTCCTGCTTCAGAAGCTGGGCCGTTGCCCTCTTTGTGTGGTCGGAACCAACGCGCATCGCCGCAATGGCCTCCCATGCCTCCTTGGCAGAGCTCTTTGCCCCCAACGCTCCATGTACTCCACCAGAACAGCAGCGAGGATAGCCTTCAACGCTGACATATTGTCTTCTTCATTTTTGGTGCCCTTATCAACAGCATTCCAAAGCCGTCGGGCTCTGAGCTTGACCTTCATGGTCACCGACCACTCGCCATAGTTGATGCGAGTCAGCATCAGCCAACTGGTGCCGCTGACCTCCCGCACCATGCAAACAACGACCTCATGTCGTGGTTAGGCAGCCATAGTAGTGCCACTGCTGTCGCCCAACTCCAAACCGTCCGTCATCGCCAACGATTAGTCTGGCGACGGCGCTTGTACGGCTCTGATACCACTTGTTGGCCCACACAGGATCACCAGCTCAGGTGAGTCGACCACTCGCCAGTCTTGCCAACCACGACAGACGTTGTCCGACCACACACTATGGCTAGAGGTAGAAGAAGGGAGGGAGAACAGAGCATACACATACAACAGAGATACCAGCGTTGGCCGGAGCTCTATATAGGAGATGGCAAATATGAACTCTCTTTACTGAGTTGCAGTGGCAAACTATATATACAACTCTATCCATCTAATCCTAGTACAACTGTCATGCTGCTACAATGACTATAACACAGCAAGGCTAACTCTGCGCGCCTGCCCCTACTGTGACTACAGTGAGGCAGGTGAGCAGTTTGGCGCCTGCCCCAGCGGCTACAGTACCACAGCAGGGAGCCTTTTCGGCGCCGCCTTCCCCTGCCGTGTGTTCACACAAGGAAGCAGTAGATTATCTAACACCATCAAGCTAGTGTTGTCGCCAATTGTTCCTCCACGAATCCAGACGCTACACTCCTACAAGCAGAGCACTACTGCCCGCTCCCGTTCCCGCTGCCCTATATTGATCTTGCACCAACACTCCTCATGTCGATCCATCTATATATAGGGACAGAAATTGCATGCAACAAAGTATTGCCCATTTCTCTAGAAACGAACAACAAATTATCAATTGGCAAATAAACAAACGAGGGGCTGAAGAGACGTTACCTTAGGCTTGATTAAGGATCTGCCTCAGTTATTCTCCTCAGGATCAAACATGCCTGTGTCCACATCCGGACCCATTTGAGGCAAAGGAAACTGCAATCCCTGAGATTTTAGGGCCAAGATCCAACCCATTATGAAGTTCAAGGAAGAGGACGGGCCAGCTGCGTACCATGGTGCAGAGAGAGATCCACTCCAGAGGCCACGTCTGGAGGAGAGATGGGGGCCGATGGGGGAGGTTGAGGCCTTGAGGAGCACCAACAACGATGTGGGTTGAGAGGGGTCGACGGTGACGGGTTAGTTGAGGATGGCAGCTGGCGGGATGATGTTGAGGAGCAGCATCGGCCAAGCTCCAACCATGCTACCGCCGAGGCACCCCGCAGCGCCGCGACGAGGCCACCACCGAGATGCAGTCAGCGGTAAAAGGCTGCGGAGGCGTCGGAGGCCGCTGAACCCGCCTCGGAGGCTTGGGAGGCGAGGGGGAGGCGGTGAGCTATGGTTGTGTGGCGGAGGGGGCGGCGAGCTGGGGCAAAACTGGTGTCTCCTCTGGGTCCTCCCCACGATCTGGAATTAGAATGGAAAAAAATACGATAAAGAGGAGCTGGGTGCGATAAAAAGCGGAGGGACCGGGAGCGCTGGTGGCTCGATCCAGTGATTTAGGCCTCGGTGATTTGGACCCAGGGTAATACATAGAGAATATATATATATGGCTCGCTACGAAATAATTTATTTTGTAGCCAAGTCTGATTAAACTTTCCGACCGAACCACGCAGCAGTTCCGCGCCGGCGTGGAGCGTGCTCCATCCCCACCCGCACTCCTCCCCACCCACCCGGCACGGCTCATCAAGCGCGATTCAGCGCGCCTCACCCCTCCCGGCTCGGCTTCACATATGGACATTCCCGAGCCAGCTGAGCGGTGGACCTACCCCAAATCCTCCGTCGCTTGTCCCTTCCGAGAAGAACCGCAGAAACCACAAATCTGGCGCCGCTCCCCCGTGAAGGCGACGCCGGGCTCGGACGGGCCCTCCGCAACCCCGACCACACCGGCGGCAATGACACCTACATCACCGGCCCCATCTCTTCTGAGATCCAGATCGGCGGCGACCGCCTCTTCCCTTAGCAGATCCGGCCTCCCATGGTGGTGGCGGTGGGGCCTTCCACTCGACGGCTGATGCGGTGTGTGCCCGACGGTGGCATTTGATGCGGATCGGCAGATGGTGGCTGCCGGCGGTGCCCCTTCTTCTCCACAGGCGGCAGCGCATGGCTGTTGTGCCTCCTCCATCCCCCTCGGCGTCGGCGCGTCCCGCACCGCGCGGATTGGCCCCCCGGCGGCGATGCGTCCTCGAGCAGCGGTGCCTTGCCTCGCGTGGACGGGGGACCCGACACCAGCGCAACCTACCCCACGCGAGCGGTATGTCGATTGCTGATCTGGCCTTTCTGAGGAAGACGGCAATGTTGATGTGCATGAGGTGCTCTTGGTGCAGATCGAAGAGTATGGTTTACTGCCAAGCTGGATTCATGGATTATGGGTTTCCAGTACCGCCATCCGCACAGACGGGACAGGATCATCACATGAGCATCCGCACATAGCCACTTCAGTCCATCAGCCCTCAGGTTCGTGACTCCTGTAGGCTCCTTTCTTGATTAATTGTTCGTCAGTCATTTATTTAATTCCATTTGTCTCATTAGCCATCTGGATTTTGGTAGCTGTTGGTGACTCCCGTAGATTGGAATATTGTTTATTATTGCAGATCTATTGGCCACATTAGCCAGAGTGCGTAGGTTTGTAAATCCTATCCATTTTAGGTTGTGTCAGGTTTGCTGTTTTTTAAACCAAATTCTTGAATGTCAGATCCCTTGTTTAGTAAATTCCTTTGTTTCTACTACAAAATATCGTAACTATTGTATGCACTAAATCAGTATACATTAATCTTATGATAATAAGCATTGCTGCCTTATGCTAATCATCACGATTTACTGCTCAGACATTTCAAGCAATCACGTGCTTGTCCATTCTTCAGACATTATTAGTATCCTGTAGTTGTTTACATTATGATTTTTCTTGGTAACTAATCAGTCTCTCATTGTGTATTTTCTTTCTACTCCTCACCCTATGGGCAGATTGTAATTTTTGTTTTATTATTCTAGTAGATCTGTTGGTCGCTTGAGCATCCATCACAAATAGAACTAAAGAGGTGTCTGTCAGGTGTCCTTGTATATATCTTTTAAGAAAACATTTTGTGGATAGGCAGTGAGATGGACCAGTGCTTGATAGTCTTCATGCAATGGCAGGTAATCGTTGCCTTTTCCTCTTTTTGATATAGAACAGCTTACTAGTAAATTGGTCCTATGCCTGAACTGGTAATGACTCGTACAAAAGGAATACAGAGTAGTTCATTCAAAAATTCTTGTATCTCACTGTTCTTTGATTTACAAAGGTAGTCTAATCAGAATAGATTATAGTGATTCATCTGATGCAAAATTTTGGTTACTCCTTAACTAAATTACTGATTCAAATTAGTGTAATTACTTAACAGCTTATTGGACTCCTCATTTGAGTAGCATCAGAATACCATGACCTTAAATTCTTGTATCTCCCTACCTTCAATATGGTAATTTCGATCATCCTTATTAATTTTTATCGTCAACCATAGTCCAAAATTCTTGTAAATACTTATATTCAAAGTACTCATTTCTCGTAAATACCAGTGTAAGTTATGTCGAAGGAAAATTCATAATATAGAATTCTTGTAAATATTATTAGTGAAATTCTTGTAAATATTGTTAGTATTGCCGTAAGCACAATTCTCATAAATATTATGTAACTTATACTGAAGTTACGATAATTTCATTCATATGGTATTCCATGTTTTAAAGGCGGCTAGACGTCCAGGCGAGTGCTTGGTACGCCTGGACGCCTAGGCGACAAGGCGCCACTGTTTCCCAAGGCGAGCTGGGTGCGCCTGGTGTCGCCTAGACGACGCCTAGGCGACGCCTTTAAAACACTGATGGTATTCAAAATTTGACGTAAAGCAATGTGGAGTTACTGTATTTTTTACTAATATATTGTAACTTAGTTACTGTTATGGTACAAAATTATCGAAAATAACATATCGATCTTTCCGGTAACCAAGTCTGTGTTACGGTAACTGTGCCCACCAATTGACGAGCCTGCATGTAGATGGTTCAACTATCAATTTTTCTTGCTCCTGCAGTTTGAAATAACAAGCTTGCTTTCTTATTTTGCCGGTGTGACCTCCATTCTCACAGTGATGTTTTCTACTTTTCACCCTTGCAGATTGAAATCGATTTGATCTAGAAACCAGAACTGAACTACCGGAATTAATTGTGGTGGTTACTTAGGCCAAGGTTACAGTAAATTCATTTGTTCTTGTTAATGATTTATCATGTATCGTGGTTAGCTTATAATGTAAATCACTGATGTGTTATTCGCTCTAATGTTCATTCACCACAGATGCACGAGAAGGGGCCCAAATTTCGGTCAGAGCTGCACTTCTACTTGCTTTTACCACCCACTGAACGCTGACTAAGAAGCTTCCAGCCGGACCTGAGGCTCACATGGCATGATCTTAATCGTCCCAGAGTCGTTCCAAATGAGTGGACATCATTCTGATGGAAAAATGGATCGATGTACTGTTTCTATTTTTTCCAAGTTTTTTGAGAAATATGTAATCACTTTCATGCCAATTTTACGTAACACCACAGCCTAATTAATTATCATTTCCAATATTCTGAAATGTTGTAAGTAGTTTTTTTTTTTTGAGAAATGTAAGTGCTTTCTTATAGCATCTTGGTAGGAAGTTGTGGTAATTGTCCAACAAAAATATCATAAATATTGTATTTCTGGTTTATTGCAATTTGACCTATTTACAGTAACTAGATCCTTTAGAAAATCTTTGACATCTAATTGTGGTAACTCCCTATCCTAAATAAGGTCTCTAGGCACTAAAATTATCGTAATTACTTCATTGTAAATTATTCTCGTCATTTTACCAACTAGTGAGTTGGAACATCAAGACGCCAAATTGTCGCAATTTTACATCCTAATTATAGGCAATATTTTTCTGGTAATATAAACTGCTGCTTGGGATATATATATACAATATAAAATTCTCCTAATTTCAGAAGTTGTGTTCTCGTAATCTTTGAAACAAATACGAGAACTCATTCAAGATTCTATGGATACGTATGTATTCTCGTAAACATTAAACTATTCTCGTAAACTAATTTCTAAAGGTGTGGCCGTTTCATAACGTATATGCATATAGGTCCACGTGAACACCAATGATGCATGCACGTGGTCGTTTACTGTGGACGGAGGCTTATTTTGGTAAGTAGAAAAAAAGTCCGTCGCTAATAAGGATGCATGCATGTCGCTGATCTATTACTAGGCCTGATTTAACGGAATCATCAGTGTGATGCGCAGCTCCCGTAACTGGGCGAGCCATGCGGATTGGGAGCCGCGGGAGCCAGGAGCCCGGGAGGACCAGGAACCCCGTGCACGTCCGCTGCGTTGTCGCGCCTCGGGTGCGTCGGATGACCCGGCTACAGAATTCGATATTCTGTAGCTGGCTACAGATTAGTCTCTCCATATATATATATATATATATATTTGGTACTGATTTGGACAACGCTATTTGGTAGATTATCTAACACCATCAAGCTAGTGTTGTCGCCAATTGTTCCTCCACGAATCCAGACGCTACACTCCTACAAGCAGAGCACTACTGCCTGCTCCCGCTCCCGCTGCCCTATATTGATCTTGCACCAACACTCCTCATGTCGATCCATCTATATATAGGGACAGAAATTGCATGCAACAAAGTATTGCCCATTTCTCTAGAAACGAACAACAAATTATCAATTGGCAAATAAAACAAACGAGGGGCTGAAGAGACGTTACCTTAGGCTTGATTAAGGATCTGCCTCAGGCTTGATTAAGGATCTGCCTCAGTTATTCTCCTCAGGATCAAACATGCCTGTGTCCACATCCGGACCCATTTGAGGCAGAGGAAACTGCAATCCCTGAGATTTTAGGGCCAAGATCCAACCCATTCTGAAGTTCAAGGAAGAGGACGGGCCAGCTGCGTACCGTGGTGCAGAGAGAGATCCACTCCAGAGGCCACGTCTGGAGGAGAGATGGGGGCCGATAGGGGAGGTTGAGGCCTTGAGGAGCACCAACAACGATGTGGGTTGAGAGGGGTTGACGGTGACGGGTTAGTTGAGGATGGCAGCTGGCGGGATGATGTTGAGGAGCAGCCTCGGCCAAGCTCCAACCATGCTACCGCCAAGGCACCCCGCAACGCCGCGACGAGGCCACCACCGAGATGCAGTCAGTGGTAAAAGGCTGCGGAGGCGTCGGAGGCCGCTGAACCCGCCTCGGAGGCTTGGGAGGCGAGGGGGAGGCGGTGAGCTATGGTTGTGTGGCGGAGGGGGCGGCGAGCTAGGGCAAAACTGGCGTCTCCCCTGGGTCCTCCCCACGATCTGGAATTATAATGGAAAAAAATACGATAAAGAGGAGCTGGGTGCGATAAAAAGCGGAGGGGCCGGGAGCCTTGGTGGCTCGGTCCAGTGATTTAGGCCTCGGTGATTTGGACCCAGGGTAATACATAGAGAATATATATATATGGCTGGCTACGAAATAATTTATTTTGTAGCCGAGTCTGATTAAACTTTCCGACCGAACCACGCAGCAGTTCCGCGCCGGCGTGGAGCGTGCTCCACCCCCACCCGCACTCCTCCCCACCCACCGGCTCGGCTCGTCAAGCGCGATTCAGCGCGCCTCACCCCTCCCGGCTCGGCTTCACATATGGACATTCCCGAGCCAGCTGAGCGGTGGACCTACCCCAAATCCTCCGTCGCTTGTCCCTTCCGAGAAGAACCGTAGAAACCACAAATCTGGCGCCGCTCCCCCGTGAAGGCGACGCCGGGCTCAGACGGGCCCTCCGCAACCCCGACCACACCGGCGGCAATGACCCCTACATCACCGGCCCCATCTCTTCTGAGATCCAGATCGGCGGCGACCGCCTCTTCCCTTAGCAGATCCGGCCTCCCAAGGTGCTAGGAATTACCGATTGCAACAATCCTGTTAGATGTGCTAGGAATTACCGATTGCAACAATTTATGTGGACCGAAAAAAATTTGTAGACCGGTTACTACTAATATGTTACGCTCAACATATCTAGTTAGTGACATTGAGAAAAAAAAAATAGAAGGAAACAGTCTGATAATCTAAAAAAATTGGCTTAGCTGGGAAACCAC